CGTGCTACAGCCTGCTCTTCTACCTAGAGTAGCAAATGCAAAGGCGATGTTCAGTCACGCGAAAATTATATAAAGAGTTGCCCAAAAGAATGTTCTCTTTCTGATATTCTTTTGGTAGATTCTATATCGCGTTGTCGTATTTTGTGTCATCGTCTTCTGCAATCATGGCCTCCTCAATGTCCCTCCCTCCTCGCAAGGATACCTTCCTCACGGTATTCAGCAAGCACCAATTGCGCCCGAATCCCAAGCCACCTATGGATCACGTCTCAGTCACTGGCCAAACCGTCGTTATCACAGGCGGCAATGTCGGAATTGGCCTAGAATGCGGACGGCTTTTGCTTTCACGCGGCCTCTCGCGCCTCATCCTCGGCGTGCGGTCCCCCCAGAAGGGCGAGGATGCCGTTCTATCTTTGAGAAAGGCTTACCCAAAGGCGAGTATTGATATTTGGCACCTGGACTTGAATTCATACGACTCCATTCGGGCATTTTCTCGAAAGTGCAATGAGTTGACCCGCTTAGACGTTGCTATAATGAGCGCGGGGATCATGAACTCGGAATTCAGGGCAACTCCCTCTACGGGCCACGAGGAGCAGTTCCAGGTCAACTATCTATCGGCAGCCCTTCTGGGTCTGCTTTTGCTGCCCGCTCTGAAGAAGAATAACCCAGATAGGTCTCCTGGCCGGCTTACATTTGTAGCTTCTGGAGCAGCTCTGATTGCTGAGTTTGCGGAGCGTAACGAAGATCCTCTTATCCCGGCGTTTGACAAATCAGAGGGGTGGAACTCTTCTTCAGCTAAGAAGAGATACGATACAAGCAAAGGATTGGTTCTGATGTTGACGCACAAGCTCAGCCAGATCACCAAGTCAGAGGACACGGTGGTCAATGTCGTTGACCCTAGTTTCACACCAGGGACCAGCTTCTTCCGCAGTATGCCCTGGATAGTGAGAGTACTCACCTGGCCTCTTACGGCGCTTCTCGGAACATCTGTAAACAACGCAGCATGGAGGTATATCGATACTGCCGTATCCAGAGGACAGTCAAGCCATGGAAGTTTTATAAGCGATTGGGAAGTCAGCCCGTAAGTCCAGAATCCATTAAGTCCCCCTGAGTAGGGGTTAGAATATTTTGATTCATCGATACTGACTTGGTCTAGATACAATGCCTTCATGTATACGGAAGAAGGTAAAGCCTTCATGGAAAAGCTTTGGAAAGAGACGGTGGCAGAGCTCGATTTCCCCGAGGTGCGCGAGGTTTTGAGGTCGTTGGAGATGAAGCCTGTGGCCTAGTGTTCTGGAATAGTCTTGGGCAAACATGATGCCACAATTATTTCAACACGGGGATTTGTTTTAGATTTGCGATTAATTTGAGGTTGTCTGCGATATGAATCTGATTTTTTTTTAACATCGGGGAAGAAATTGCTGTACTTGGGCAGATATCCTTAGATGTAGTAAGACTTCTGTAGAAGAGGTACAAATAAGAACACTATGCAGCTAAATAAACTGGAAGGAACCACCAAGTTATGCTGATGGTGCTCATAAGAACGTGCTATATTTTGTGAAATTCCTTTCTATTGGTGCCTATGTCTTCCAACTTCGTTTGCAGTAGCTCTATTTACTGTACGACAGTGTAATCAGGCAACACTCGCTCAATTAGATAGATTGGTTCAACAAATGGACTATAGTAGCATTGGATTTTACAGCTTTGGGGTGCTCTCCTCACGGCCCTTAAGGTTAGGGTGACCATCATTCATTGGCCGAGTGACAGCATAGAAAGCAACGCCCTCAGATTTGGTTGAGAACTATAAATAGATTAGTTAGTGTTGATAAATTGACTGGAGCAGGGAAAACTTACCTGTGCTTTTGATCCGATATGAAAGAAGGCCCAATCTCCGGCAACGAGATGGTGAGTAATGCCGGTGGCTTCATCCTATATATTATCAGTTTCGTCATAAGTAAGACTTCAGAAACCAGTGGACCCTTACGGTAACATCAATTTGGCCTCGGAGAACATATTTAGTCTCTTCATAGTCATAAGATCCGTATCGTGTAGGACCAGGAACAACCCTGTAGAACCCCGTGGTCAAGTAAGGAGTAGAGTCGGCTCTTTGGGATTTAATTGAGTGAAAGTCGGCGATGACAGCACAGTCACCCTCAGGGATAGGGATATGCTCATGGCCAGCGCCCTTAATAATCGTAAGAGGAACAATCTTGCCAGACACTAAGAGTAAGTTAGAAGAGGCTATTCTCTGAAGCTTTATTGAACATGCTACAAGTATATCTTACTTTTTGCAGATATAAATAGAGATTAGAGGTAAAGGAAGATAGATATAATTTGCAAGCATTAATGAAATCACTTGTCAGGCCGCTTGCTTATATACTAAGTTGATATGGAGTATTCTCGGTATATATTAGATCAAAAGATAAGAGAGCTGTGCGGAGGGAACACGGGTACGGCTCCGGGGCCGTAGGTCCGTACCTTAGAAGTGTTGGTGCCTTAAGATAATTCAGCCACTACTAGCTTCAAAAGGAGTTAGTGTTGATGCGCAAAGGTGGATTGAGACATAACATGATCGGACTCACGGCCGTTAGCCGGGTCGTCCTAGAGGCAAGATTATATAAGCACGGGTATAGCTCCTGGAGGACATGAGGGAGCATCTGCAACGTGTTTGCATACTCTTTCTATTTTTTCCGTTGAGCAAATCCACACCTTTTTACAGGGAAACGAAAAGTAAAAAGGGCCAACTACATAGATCCTCTATTGGAAATGTCATATCCCTTATCGGCCTCGTTCTCATATCCCTCTTAATCTCGGCCGACACGTGTAAGAAAAGGAGCGGCTCAGAGCCACAACGGGCAACGAGGCCCTGATCGCCTAAACCTTGAATACTCTACCTCTCGGCGCTGAGACCTCAGAGTGGCAATGGAGGACAAAGTAAATAATAACTTTAGAAGATAGCTCATTGTCCATGTTACTATTTGTTCCTATGCTCGACCTTCGGCGTCTTTATTGTCTCCAGCTCATTCCTGTATATAATGCTCGTAAACCCCCGTGTTTATAATAAACTATAAGAGTCATTCCCTAGGCTTGGTATTCTCAGAGGCTCATCGTCTAGGTTCGCAGTCGAATGATACATGCATGACCCTTGGCCTATTGTAGTTATATATATATATGTGTGTATAAAAGCTACAATAATATATACTGTGCTGCCATATAATTAAAGCACTAGCATCTATATTATCCTATCAACTGCGAGTACGAAGAGAATATTGCGGTATACCATTACTCCTCTTTGTTCCGTTGCTGTCATCAGTGCTTGGGAATCGCCTACGTATGTTAAATCAAGGAATGCGAGGCGTGAAATAGCGCCTTTCGCTAGAACAGATTGATGACGTGGCGGCTGATGGGTGCTTTGGACCGAGAGCAATCAGGGCTGCCGAGCTAGCCTGTTGAAATCTGTTCCCTGTTGAGCATCTAAGTTGACATCGTATTTTGACATTAACTAGGCTCGTATCCTCGCTTCTCCCAATCCGTCTGCGATCGAGATGAACGGAACGATTGAGATGCCCACTCTGGCGAAAAACCACACTATCCTTCATACGGCATCCTTTTTTGTCGGGTTTAAATTCTATTTTCCTTATGTAGGTACGCAAAAGTTTGACGCAGGTGGCACTACTTTTGGCTCTGGAAAGGTTTTTCATTAGCTATATATGTCTACTTCTCTCCCACACGTATCTCTGAGCCTCCTTCACTGAGCATTCGACATTTGATTTGAGAAGCTACGTAACATGGTATGTGTTTAGGATGCATTGAGATAGAGACTCAGCTTACAATTGTCGACCTAGGGCCATATCACTTTCGACTTCGCAACCCCGGCTCCCGTCAGCCTCGCCTCAATCCCGACAGGCCCTCCAACTTGTCATCAGTGTGGAGGCCCGAGCGCAAGGCACATAACCCGGCAATCCAACCGCAACGGAAACGCTGGACGCCCATACTATAAATGCACTCGCTGTTATAAGTTCTTGGTCTTTGAGGATGATCGAGGGAACGATCCAACAAATCCAACATGCGAATGTGGCATTTCTAGTAAGCGACAGGTGGCGAGCCGTGAAAAGAGTCGCAGAATACACTACGTCTGTAGGCTTGGAAGATGCGACTTCTATGCACCCTGCTTGAACGCAAACCATGGTCCTGTCGTGATCGGAGGAGACGATATCGTACATCTCTTGATCCAGCTTCGGCTTATTTAACCTTGAGAAATCAGATTAGGATATATAGCTAGTGCCTCCAGCCTTGCAAATATATTATCTGTCCTCCCCCATCTCTGGAATCTTGAAAGCAAATTGTCCCTAGTCCAATAACAGCCATATAGAGCAGAACAAGAATGAGAAGGGTCATATCAAGTTGTAATGAGCTTGTTATGCAAGTAGGTAAGACTTTTACGGACCATAGACATACTGAATTTCGAGAAGCCCTTAATAAATTATTACTACACATATACCCGCCATCCTCCCCGGATATGTTAGAATGTTTGCCGAGACTAATACACGAGATCCCATCTTCCAGAAATTGCGAGATGTTGCGGGGAGTGGTGTTTGCTATTTTACATTTCCCTCAAGCGGCAGAGGTTATTTTTTAACCTTTCGTATTCATTGTGTTGAGATGTCGGGTCTGGCATCTTAATTGCTGTTTTTTACTTTGTACTCGAACTCTCTGATCCGTATATCCCGCCCATTAGGCTCCACTCCACCACATCACAATTTCGCCTGGTGAGATCCTAGAATGCTCCCATTGGCCATATCGAATTATTCTCCACATGTCTTGCCCCCAGATGCACAGATATGGAAAGAGCAAAGCTTGGCAACAAGTGTTGAAATGCTGACAAATTCTCTGTTTGCAACAATCACCAAGCCTTTCATATATTGGTTGAATTTTGTGACAGTATCAATCTGTAGCCCAAGTAGGATTCTACCTTATGTTGAAGATAATTCGTGCTCTTTAACATGTCCCGAAGCAATCATGCCGACTTCCAGTTCATACCCTCGTCACACCCAGGGACTGCGCCCTCCCGCGAATCACAGCGCCGAGCCAACGCACACGCCGCCCGTGTAGCCCATGGGAGGGTAAGACGGTTTCGTGTGATTGAATATCAGGCTTCAGAGAATAGCAGACGGCCAAATGAGAAAACAGCCTCTTCTGGGTCGAGACCTAAAAGCTCAAGGCCCAAGAGGTCTAATGGGGCAGCGGCTATTGCATCTCCTTTGCCGATTGCTGAGGCTGGTGACTTTGTTTTGGCGAATCCCGTTACCACACTAGCGTCAGCACGTAAAGAATCGTTTGCCTACTTTGCAAGGTCGTTCAACCAGATCGAGTCTTATCTCATTGATTATTGTAAGGGATATGACTTTGGCTGATCCTCGCCTATTTTGAGTAAATGACGGTCCGAGTGCTAAGTGAAATTAGATGTACAGGTCGTGGTACCATATCAGAGCATATTTTGCAACCGTTTATGGGACAAAGCGGAGTATAGAGAACTCATGAGAGGAGATTGGATGAAGCTTGTCCTCGCTCGAGGCTATTCGTTGGACGCTCTGCTTCTTATTGCATGCCGCCACTTGGCCGCGAACAAGTCACTGGACCCTGATGGACACCAACGCTACATGGAACTAGCTGTTAAATATAAGCTTTCATGTGTGAAGGGCCTGAATGAAACTATATCCGACGAGGTCGTTAGCATAATAAGCGATGCGACAGTTGCGACAGTTGTAATGCTGGCTTGTGATGAGGTGAGCACCACCATACGCTGGGTCCTCTTGAAGCCTACTGACTGCGGCATGTGAACTCTAGTTTTGGATTAAAGAGCCCTCTACAGCCAGGAGACACTTGGATGGTGCATTGCAGATGGTCAATCACAACGGTGGGCCACAAACACTTGGGTTAAATGGTTTTCTGGAGCATGTACTGTACAAATTTTGGGGGGATGTTCAGCATGGTAATCAGGTCTTGCATTAAATTTGACCGCCTGATGACTGAATTGGAAGGAGCTCTGACCTTTCAGTGATATCTTGCATCACGAGTGCTGATTTGATGGGGATAAACTGAGCCTCTACATGACATGCGAGGTTCCCCCTTTTCAGTAATCTGCTCTTTCTTCTTTGGATTTGGGACAGTTTCTGCACAGCGTACCAATATTTTAGTGGCCTTTAGCACATAAAGAATTAACCATCGATTTGTAATTTGATTGGTAATTCTTCGTTCAACGTTCTTGTCTTCTCGCTTGGGGCGACATCTTTCGGTAGAGTGGAGGCTTGACTACATGCATTTCCAATTGCGGTAATCTGCTCTTTCTAGTTTCTGCCTAGGGTGGTGTTGTACGATCCGTAGTGGTAGGAAAAACATGGCTAGAGATAGACCTGTAAGCTGACCGAGGCTCGTTCAACATTATTGGCATCTGCAGCTGGCGGAGGAACCAAAGTTGTACCACAGTCACCTCAAGTATAAATTCCCTGTTATCCAGGACGAAAGTTCAGAGACAATACACATCATCCTTCTCTATCCTCATCGATACAATCCTCAACACTTTTAACATATATTACAATGGCCGATTCCGTTACTATCCCTCCTGGGTCCTGGATTCTCGTGACAGGTGCCAACGGGTTCGTAGCTTCCCACACTGTCAAGCAGCTTCTTGAGCGCGGATACAAGGTTCGAGGGACAGTCCGAGATTTAGAGAAATCCTCATGGCTCGTTCAGGGCATTTTCAAGTCGTATGCCGATAGAGGTGACCTTGAACTTGTCGAAGTCCAGGATCTTGCTGCTGAAAATGCCTTTGATGCCGCTATCAAAGGAGTATCTGCAGTTGCTCATATTGCCACGATCCTACCCCCTGATGGCGATCCCCACAAAGCGATCCCATTGGTTGTTTCGGGTGTGACATCGATTCTAGAAGCCGCCATCAAGGAGCCGTCCGTCAAGTCCTTCGTGTACACATCATCCGTGGTGGCTCAATCTTTTTGCTCGCCTGGCGACCATACTAGAATTGACCAGGACACATGGAACGACAAGGCAATAGAACTCGCTTGGGCTCCACCCCCTTACACTCCTGAGAGAACTTTTATCGTCTACATGGCAAGCAAGACAGCCGCCGAAAAGGCCCTGTGGAAGTTTGTCGACGAAAGAAAGCCACACTTCAGAGTCAACGCCGTACTTCCGTTCACCATCATTGGTGAACCTCTGAACCAAAAGCACGCGGAAACTCCCTTCTACTTTGTCAAGGATGTTTATGAGGGTAATACTGGACCATTGATGCACCCGGCGAGTAAGTCTGCCTCTTCCAGTAGATTCAGGTAGACACAGCTAACTGACTCTATAACGCAGTTGTTCATAATGATGTGAAGGACTGTGCTCTTCTCCACGTTGCAGCAGTGCTAGACCCCGAGGTCAAGAACTCTCGCCTGCCTGCATGGGGGGAGTACTGCAACTTCAACGATATGCTAGCCATCATGCGCAAACTCGTTCCGGAGCGTAAGTTTATGGATGATCTTCCTGGTTTGTCGAGGGTGGATGTCACAACAGACTACACCCAGGCTTTTGCACTTCTGGAGAAGTGGGCTGGCCAGAAAGGTTGGAAAACATTGGAGGAGACAATTGCCGACAGCCTGCCTAAAATCCAGAAATGGTATCCTTAGGATTTTCGCTCCCTGGTATTTCCTTCGGATATGGCCTCAATATGTGGTGTGTAAACGGCGGGTTGTGTGAAAAATAGCCGTCAGATGGCGCGTGCTGGCTGATATCTTTGACACAATCTCGCTGATGGAACAATTTCAGAGATTCACGTAGCCCGAGAACGGATATTGATATTATTCACAGATTAGTGCCCTATGATTGTGTTAGGCATGAGGTACAACTATAAAATATATATTGATTGGTAGATTCTCGTGCTCACAAGTCTCCTCGTTACCTTCCAAGCCAACTTTAATCCATTTCATCAGGGTACACTGCCGAAATATCCGGTGATAAACCACCCATGAAAATTCCCAATGAGTCCCAGTTCCAATGAATATATCTCAATGCCGAATAGCTGGCCAATACCTCCCCAAGCAATACTTGCGGTGCCTCTACATAAAATTCAAACTTCACCATCAACATCTTGTTTGGTTTGCCATCCACAACCACCGACATCCTTTCCGACTTGTCTAAAACAGCCACCAGCCGATTATAGGCGTCAAGAAGAACTGCACGTCGGCTAGGGCTCTTCATATTGCCAGTCTGGACTTGTCGTACGACCCATATTAGAGGGCCAAACGTGCTATTCCACAGGAGGAATGCAGGCCGTTTCGTTGGTGAGTGGCTGATTCCTGATCGACGGGATGAATAAGCAGGCGTCTTACTCTCGTAATTTCCATCGTATTCTGGGGTGTGAAGTACGAAATCAGCATTGTTGGTGAATAACTGAATAGTAGCGATGGCTTTCTTGGTGGCCACATCTGAGACGCAAATATGTGGCGTCGAACGAGCAGGGTCCCAGAAAGACGCTTGCCGAAGGCTAGGTCCCAGTTTGGTCTCATCTCCCGAGCTTACCATATGTTCATTCGCAGTGTATTCTTCAGTAATAACACGGCCATCCCCTGACATACCCGGTCGAGTGATGTTGAACAATTCGGCGGTACGCTCTTTGTTCAGCACGACCGTTGGAAACTTGGACCAAGAGCTGTGTTGTACTTCCAAAGTTGTAACTGGATGCGTGCTAGTATAGCGAGCAATAAAGTCTCTGATTGAGGCATCGCTGACAAGTGATGGTGGTGGCCCGGCTGGTGAGAGAGCAAAGAAAGTCCCCGCATTCTTGTCGCCCGGGGTTTCAGTCGGTACAAGACAATCTTTGTCTACCTGCACAAGAGCTTCGCCTTGCCATGGCAAAATCGCGAGGCGTATGCCACAGTGAGAGCAAAAGTGCTCCAAAAAATAGTACGTTGGTGCCACGAGGAAATCACATCGGCATACGAGGATGCCGAGGAGGCTCAAACAACTGAAGCCGTGAGCTCTGGGTATCTATGCGATCAGAATTTGTGTATTTTGGTCGAGATGAACGAGAGTATTCTCGATGTATTCCTACTCACGCAGCTTGGGAGATCATCTCCATTGGTCGGACAGTGTTTCCCGTTTTCTGGCACGCAGGACATTTGACAAATGCAGGCTCTGTTTCAAGCCGAGCTAGGCTCACGGGCTGGGACGCCATTTCTCAAATTTTCAAGCGATTCCTTGACGATATCTGTCAGTTGGTATCAGTTGTATGGCGTCCCCTTGACGTTTAGGGGGGAGGAAATAATGTAGGAGGCAAGTTCCTTAGAATAGAACGATTCAGTACGGGCTTAAGTTTATTATTATGCATAACGCTTCCGGCCCTGCACTTGACCACACTTGGATGGCCGTGTAGGTGTGGAACGAATGTCTTCTGACTTCAGAGAAAGAAACCGCTTGGCACTATCTGAGGCTGAGCCCACGTTCTGCTGACTGCAAACCTCGTTGGCTGCCATTGGGAACCGCCAAGACCAGCTGAACTGCGAGCAGCCTTGGCAGTATCCCTGGTCTACAATAAGCTTGTATTCTTTACATCACGGTCATAGATGTAATTTATCGCCCTGCAATATGATTGGATTTCGCTTATTCATATTTAAAGGCACTGCCAATGCCAATACCACATGTACGTGATTGACATTGGCACACCGTTCGCTGTTACAAAGAAGGGCACCTCCTCGGAGAGGAAATGAAATGTGAAAAGCCATATTTGCGATGATATCTGTGAGACATAGCAAGAACTTTTGCAATTCAACCATAAAATAACGGGCTCGTTCATATATTTGCTAATGGCCAATTGTGCTTTTACTCAGGGCAGCCTCTGGCGTGTTCAGTTATCTAAATACACAAACGCAATATCATAAGAAGCTTAAGAAGGGTGGAACTTGGAATTTTGATATCTTGATTGCCTTTCTACTCTCTATCATATAGATCATGGTATCAATATCGTTTTATGCTGAAAACAGAATACTTTCAAAGGAACAGGAAGGCTTCTTCAATCTGACTGGGACCCAGATATTATCTTCGAGTCTAGGGGCCCCTCGGAACCATCTCACTTAGTAGCAATCATGGGAATTAGTTATACGTGATAGGTAGGTGTATCTAGATTCTGTTCGTCAGCTATTTATTCGGCTTCCTTGCATTGGTTTGTGCGGTAATTCACCCAGCAATACCCTGGCAGTTATAAATAGGCCCTTTTGGCAGAGGTCAAGTTTTTGGGTAATGACATTATTTAAAGATGAATAGGGGAATGTATATGTAAAAAAAATAAAGCCTCTCAGGTGTCCCGGGATCGCGTGTCCTAATTCCTACTGCCTGTAGCGAGAACCATCATCAGGTCGAGATCCGCGCTAAGTTACACCCCTATTCCCGTTACAGAATTCGTCCGCCGGCCATTTACTGTTTACAAAAGAATCTAAGTTTCCCGGGAGATTGCAACTGTCCGAGGTCCGAACACATCAGATAGCGCATATCTCAAGGGCGGTGGCAAGGATCCTTTCATTCTATTGGCCCAAGTCCGGAGTGGTCAACCAATATTTTGGCGGCCGAAGTATGTGTGAAACATCGCCTCTCCCCCGATTTACATATTCACAAGGCCTCTGATCGCGAAGCAACCAATGGTCCCGTAGCTTGCGGAGTATGCATAAGCCTATCTAGCCTAAACGAACAATAGAAGCCCTCTAAAATTAGGTACCTAGGTTGTCTTCTCAAGCTTGACAATATTGACTAGGGTGCCCTTCCCTTCAAACAGCCAAACACGACCAAGGATGCCTACAATGCCGGAAGCTACCAGACACTGTCGACACCACTTGAAGGATGGCTTAGAAAGCAAACGTCAAGTCCAACTTTATTCTTTTCACTAGATGGGGTATAAAACCTTGACGAAGGCCGCATTGCTTTGGTCAACCAACAAGACTCAATCATACCACACTGTGGCTGTTCCCATTCTGGCTGAGCAACATTGCCCACATCATGGAACATACATTACATTCTCCCTCACCTAATCTGGCTGTTGCTGGCCCTGCTAAAAAGACACCAGAACTTCCCCTTTACCCCGATATTGCAGACATCAGCCATGCTACGCTACGCCGGCTCTTGTTGAGTTCCTTCGCCACTACTTCCAGGCCAAAAGCAGTCATGATGCAGACGCATGGATTCAAGATTTTGATACCTCCAAAATCTTCTATCTCGACACAGTCCTTGGCCTCCATCTCAACCAAGAGAACTTTGAACCCATTACAAGATCAATAATGGCGTCATGGGATGCGGATGCAAAGTCTTATCCACTCCGTATCATTGGTGACGAACATAGCGCGGTGATGTTCTTCGAGGACACGCCGACCATGTTCGGAAGTGAGCTCCGTGGAATTTCTGCACTCGACATGGAGAATGGCAAGGTCATCCGTCAGGTCGACTACTGGGACGGACGCCGAGCTCCTCTGGCGAGTACCAGACTCCCACTGGACCATTACCCCTCGGATTTCAAGGAGTCCATTGTGCAGAGGGCTCCCGATCCTGTGATACGGGATATTGTCAATCGGCTTCATGCGGCCCTTTCGAAGGGCAATAGTAGCGGTGCCGCGCAGTTGTTCGACGTCGACGCTGTTTGGGAAGATCGAACCACTCGCACCATACTCGACGGTCGATTGGCTATTGAACGCTATCTTGCTCGGGCATCCTCCAGCTTGCCATATGGTGCTGGCGCGACCATTAGGCATATGGTAGGAAGCGCCCAGGGCGGTGGTTACGAATGGATCGGCGGACCGCGTGCTGCTGCTCGCCATGGTATGACCGCTCTCAAGCTTAACGAAGATCGCTTGATTACGCTCATCAGCCCTCTTTGGGATGCGTCTTACGCCAGCGACGATACAATGACTGTGCTTGTTGGATTGACCCTCGAGCCATAGGTGTGCAGTAACTGCTAGAGACCTTATCCTCACGAGATCCAGAATGGCTAGTAGTTCTTACGAGAATGGTGATCATAGAAGATTGAGGGACAGGGGGATATGGGCAGGAAACCTACTCTTCTAGGCATATCGAAGTTTTAGTTGATAGTCAGTATCTCCTCTTATTGAATTGTTCCAAGACTAGTAAAACCGTATTGTTGTCTGGTGGTGCCCTTTGCTCCTTCATTAATCCGCCCTTGTTTCGTGATAAAAAGTGTCCAATTTCACTCCATCGCAATCAAATTCCCAATCAGCTCCACACATCCTCGTGCCAGCTTGCTGTCTTTCTCTTGTTCTGCCTCCACTTGTCTGCAGCTTCTTTGGACAAGGAGTTGCGTTGCATGACAACATTTAATATGACATCTCCGACAGCTTTGGCCATTGTTGTGGCTCCGCATATGTAAATAGCCCCATCATTATCCACCAGGTGCTGGACAACTTCGCGAGAATGTACCAGCACTTGGTCCTGCACGTAGGTCTTCTTTGGAAGATTTCCATCACTTTCTCTTGGTCGGGAGAACGCGGTAATGAATTTCAATGGCAGTGCCTTGTCCCCGTCCATAGCTTCCAGAGTGGAGAATTCGTCATGATATAGAGAATCAGAACGATTCTGGCTGCCCGAGAAGAGAATCATGGGCCCGACTTTGTGACCAATAGAGGCTAGACGGGCACGCTCCTGTATAAAGGCACGGAATGGTGCGATGCCTGTCCCGGCAGCCACCATTATGACGGGGATGCTTAGATTGATGGGAAGCTTGAAAGAAGACTTGCGGATTTCGGCACGAACCAAGGAGCCCTCGTTAGAAATAGTAGAGAGATCTGTTGTAGAGAGATATGTGCTCGTGACGCCGCAAATAAGAGCCTCTGGATTCTTGAGAACCTGAGCGGGCTTGACGGAAACAACGATGCCGACCCGACGAGGGTCCACGGTGCTGGAGGTCGCAATAGAATAAAGGCGAGGCTGCATTGGCGGGATGAAGTCGATGATGAATGCAAGGGGGAGTTGCGTCCACGAGTTGCTCGAGTCATGGTTATTCATAAGCTCTAGCAGCCTCCCTAAATTGAGGTGATGCTGGTCGAGGAACCTGGCGTATGTTTCCCTATCGCGACCAATATTTTCAAGCTCACTTCTCACAATTGCGCTGGATGTTAGTCGAGCTAAGGCAAGAACCGTATCTCTGGGAACCGGTGCACAGATGTCGAGGTGCTGAGACACAAGCGCTTGAATAGTTGTCAATGAAGGAACCTTGAGCTCATCCATGTCGTCTTTGACGGTGATGCGAAGACCATCCGTCTTCTGGGATTCCAATCCAAGAACACCAAGTAAGCGATCGACTTCTTCCAGGGGGTTTGAAGGCCAAATGGCAATGTGGTCTCCGGTTCGGTATTTGATCCGGCTGTGGTTGGAAAGGTCCAACTTGAGATCTATACATGAACGATCCTGTCCGTCATAGGTGGCAACGATGTCCCTGGAGACAATGGGAATTTCTATGTTCTGTTGTTTTCTGGGCAATGATGTGTTATCCAGAAGTTTAGAGTTGGCGGATGTGATTTCTTCCTTTGTGATGCTCACGGTAGGCTGATACTCGGCCTTGTGATCTGACATGCCATACTCTGACACCAGATAAGAAAAGAAGCCCTCCTTCCATTCTAGGAAGTCCTCCTGGGTCGATTGACTTGCTTCATCACCTTTGCCCGTGGGAACAAGACAGTAAGCACCACATCGATCCATAGACGATGCTATATCATCGATGGCTTTGTTAAAGTACCGGTAGTTGCTGTTTCCGCAACCAAAGGCAGCATAACGCAAGTGTGAGAGTGGTGAACTGCGAAGTGTCGTGACATGGGACACAAATTCTATCGCATTGTGACTTGGATCGCCTTCTCCGTAGGTAGACACAATAAACACAACAATGACAGATTCTGCAACGTCTGCCAGTGTAGCAGGGTCATAGTCGGCCAAGTCGCAGACAACAGTGACAGATTTTAGCCTCTGCTGAGCATCCCGAGCTAGGCGATGAGCAAGGCTCTCTGCGGTCCCGGACTGAGATCCCCAGAGAATGATGATCTTGGCATTGCTCTCTCGAGCCTTTTCGCCAATATTCCTGGTCGCAGCAGAGGCAGAGGATCTTGCCCCATTCACTGCTTGAGGCTGCTGGAAGAATAAATGCTCAAAAGGATCTGATCTGGGCAACACACTTCCTCTATTGTAGACATAGGAGGAGCTGAGAATAATTGCTAAAAGTAGAGCATACTCTCCATAGTTGGCATCCAACAAGCTGTGCTTGAGGTTATTGACCAGCCGGTAATCGAGTGTCTTGATCAAATCCATGGCGAAGTTTATTGCAAAAATGTACGGAGATGGAGCACAGGATGACGAGATATGCGAGACCCCAAGCACACTTTTATCCTGCCGCAGTTTGTGCGGGTGCTTGATGTAGAGTGTTCACCATATACACGACAAGGACGAGACTCCTCCATGAAGAGGCTGTCGCCCGAGCCTTGTTTTCCGAGTGAAGTCCGATCTGAATTAGTCCCCATGGGGTAAGTATTGGCCGATCTCGTCAGCTGGGGCAGAGATTTTATTCCGCAGAACTCGCTAGTGAAGCTTCGCGGAATTCAATTCCCTGTTATGGTAAAATATCCCGCCGATGACGGCAGGGACACTAACCAAATGTGAAATTTGAATGTATCTCGTGAGTTGGAGTTGAAAGGCAGCCGGCGGAGAAGGAGAAACCCTATAATAGCACCCAGAAGCGACCTGGTTTCACTTGAGCAGAAGTTGTCGAGAAACGTGTTGGTCTGCTTGCTTCATTCTCTTCTACGAGTGACTGTCCTTTGAGAAGAGCCTTATCATGTATTCATTCATGTTGCCATACGCTGCGCTAGCAGTTGTTCTCTTGGCTACGTTCGCTCGCATTTTTATTTTTCCCATTGTCAAATACTTCCTCGACGCAAAGGGACTCCGAAAATATCCAAACTATTCGTGGCTCTCCCCATTCACCGATTTTGCCCATTGCTACCTGAGTTCGACGGGATCTCGCTCTGTCAATCTCTTCCTTGAACATGAGCGCAGGAACGAGCCCGTTCTGAGAATCGGTCCCAACGCTATCGCTTTCAACCACCCAGATGCCATCAAAGACATCTATGGCCATCGCACCAAGTGCACAAAGGACAGGAAGGAGAGTATTCTCGCTGGTACACATCGAAACCTGTTTGATGTCGTGGACAAAGGTGAGCACGGCAGAAAGCGGAAGCTACTATCTGCCGCGTTTGCTATCAAGAACCTCGAGAAGTGGGAATTCAAGGTGCACTACACGGCGAAGCGTCTTGTCAAAGCCTTTGACGAGCGCTGCACTTCACCCTTGAAATCCGGCCAAAACCCACAGCCAGAAGATCTCACAGTTGATTTTAATCACTGGATTAATCTATGGACAATCGAAGCGATCAACTATATTGCTTTGTCCTCGAAGCTGACGTTTCTTGATACTGGTACCGACGAGTGGACAGCGGAGAGACCTGATGGTACACAGTACAAAGCTCGATACCGTTTCGCGCAGAATAACGCCGCCATTGTCAAATCAGTGTGGTGCTGGGATTATGATCTCTGGCCCTGGACTTCTTGGCTCACAAAGGTCATCCCAAGCAAGTGGAACCAACACTGGAAGAACAGCTCTGCCTGGGGAGACGTTTGCTACCACCAGGCCAGCGAGAGGCTTCGACGATATAAAGCCGGAGAAGAGCTGGATGATTTCTTCACATGCCTCATGGAGGACAAAGGTGGTGCGCCCAACTTCCTTGAATGGGGAGAAATTGTTGCTGAAACGTCCGCTATCATCGACGCTGGCGCGGAGACTACTGCCATTGCTCTCACCAATATCCTTGAGCTTTTGATCCGTCATCCCAAACACTTAGCCACACTCAGAGAGGAGCTTGCATCTGTTTTCGATGACGACGAAGTTGTTGTTTCCTACGACAAGGTGAAAGATCTCCCTTTCCTCAGGGCGTGTCTCGATGAAGGACTCCGTATCACCCCTCCCACTTCTTCTGGGCTTCCTCGAAGAACCCCTCCTGAAGGCACGTCTATCATGGGCCAGTGGATCCCAGGTGATACCAGTGTCTCCATGACGATATATGGAGCCCACCATGATGCTAGAATCTACCCTGAGCCAAATGTATTCAATCCTCATCGGTGGATGGATGTTGAGGAGCGAAAGAGGATGGAGCCGTACTTCATGCCATTCTCTGCAGGCTCCCGCGGTTGCATTGGCCGAAACATCTCATACCTGGAACAGATTGTCATTCTCGCAACTGTTGTCCACCGGTATGACTTTGCTCTTCCCAACGCAGCATTCAAGGGTTGGAGGTTTGAGGCTTTCAATCTTATCTGTGGTCCTTTGCCCATAAAGATCTGGATGAGAGACCAGGCCAGACCGGCTATCAGCAGCGAGGCTGGTAGTCAGTGATCACCCAAATACTAAAATGACAGATACAAGAGAGAGAGCAGCTAGCAACTGAAGTAGAGATTAGTGTGCACATTGCCTGAAATGGAGACAAGGGCGGTAAGGTTGGGGCTGGTTCTTGGGAGTATCATTTTCATCATAGTCCACAAGAAGGAATTTTCTATATTTTTGTCTAAGTGTGGTATCATTGTTGCAGGATTAAGACTTTGCTCCTCTATAATACCTACTATAATTTGGATTTGTATCGTAATTTCACCAGCCCAAGCAGCCCATCTCAGATTAGGTATGGTGAATATAATGAGAGGCCGGCAAAAGCAACTGAACAGGTAAATTGATAGCTCTGAAACACAGTCTTCAATCATGTTACATTGATATTTTCAAAAGCTTCATGTAACAGAGTTGCCAGCTAGCTAGGCTACCTTAGCCCAAATGAAACATACTCAAACTTTGCTTTAGACAAGGAGAATGGCTTCAAATTTTCAAATTTCTTTTTCAATTTGATAATATTTACTTTGTATTAAATTTTATTATCTTCCCAGTCCATCAAGCTCGGCCCATTCCTCTTGTAGCGTTTGGATTAATTTATAACTCTCTCGGGGCACACGCTCTGCCATGTCACTTAATAATTGAACACATTGGTCTCTCTCAATATGATCACGAATTAGGTGCCCGCCTTCGTAGTGTGAGCCGAATGTTTCGCAAAAGCAGGAAGAAGGGTGCTTACAGAGGAAAAGTACATAGCTTGGCATGTAATATGCGCCAGGAAAATACTCGTTTCCTCGCGCAAGGCCGATCGATCGTCGAAGATAGTATAGAATAGATTCCTTTGTCGGTCAGTTCATCGATGCGTGATGCAAATATGCAGGTTCAGTCAGAGATATGGTCCCGGATCACCCTACCTCGTTTGATTTCCGGGCCTTCATGGCGTCGAATCCAAAAGCCTGGCCTCCGCCCGAGTTGCAGCGATACAGACATATTATCGCTTTCGATGCATAGTAGTATTCGAGGGCCATGACTAGCACTGGGTTAGATGTTTTTTGGTAGACGCGTAGTAGAGCGAGACATGTAACATTACCTTGAAGGCTTGAGAGCATCCAGATGGATGGGAATGTCCGGCCAGCCTTTATGTTTATCGGTGCCTCGTAGAGGACTTGAAATGATCGCGGAATCCCCCTGTACCAGTCGTCCAACTCCGTTTCTAGCTGAGTCCAAACCTGAGATATATCGGATGATCCGGAGAAGAATTCGCGAAGGACTCTCGCTAGTAGATAGACTGCACGGTTAACATGAGATCTATCACTATTCCCATCGTAAGATTGGAAAGTCTTGAAGATTTCCAGATACAGATCTGGCTTCTGTTTATGGACCATTGAGATGTAAATGACTTGGTGCAAGTGAAGCCAGCAAACAGCTTCGGCGAGACCACCGTTCTGTGCAGACTTTGTAATGGCATTGAACCCCAGAAGATTCCGTGTGCCCTTCAAATGATAGAACTGGGTGTCTTTTCCGACATCGAACTCCTCGTATAGCCTCGAGAGCACTACGGCAGTAAGGAGCGGTACCCCATATGTCTCCGGAGGTTTAGATAGGGCGTCAATCAATAGTTCAAGACATTGATTGTGGTATTGGGTGCTTTCGACATCGCTTTGAGTTTTGGTCTGGATCTCATCGAATCGGCTGGCGAGAGCGAAGATGCCATATAGAACAATTGGCTCCTCTAACGCCAGCTTGGGCACTGTGGTCGCAAAATGCCGCTCTTCATCGCATGAATCAGGCTACATACCAGTATTAGCATCATATACTAGCACGCAAGGCTATATGAATCAATTTTTCCCATGGGGACTTACAGATAATGAAACCTGATGTATATATACCCCCATCAGATATGCCTCCCTCTCCGTGAAAGCCAACGGCGGAGAGGATGGAGCAGGGACTCCAAGAGAGACTGGAGAGGTAGAGGGCGAAGAGTGAGTAAAGTCTATGGTACCCTGATTTGGATAATCACTCTGCGTAGTGACGTGAAAAATGGCCACTGGACTGGGAGTTTGGGGACCATGTAACGATGGTGGGTCAGTCATCGGCGACGGCCAGGGATGGTGAGCAAGGTCATCATAGCTGACCCGTCTTTCTCTATCGGTGGCGGCCTTGTTTGTGTTATTTCGCTCAATTCCAATATTCGAAGACTGATGGGGTAACGTGTCCCGAAAGCTGATTAATTGGCTCGGACTTGACGAGGAATTTCTCCCTTGCGCTGGCGTTGGCGATGCTTCCTTGCTCTGAGGCTTCGAGCGTCTCCGTCGGAATGATGATCGGTTGAAGAATCGGAATTGAGGTTTTACTTCGTAGTAGCACAATTCCCCGGCCTGTTCGCATTCGTTGCATTGTGGGGATCCAGGGTGCGTCAAGCATCGTTTATGCCGCTGGCGACATCGCCGGCAGCTGCTCCTGTGCCTCATGTCGGAAATGGTGAATGGGACTGGAGGAAAAAGAGGACTGAAAGGGGCTATTAAAGGCCGTTCGCTTTTTGGGTCATGGTGATGCAGTGAGGGGTTTTGAAGGAGAAAGACTTCCAATCAGGCACTGAATTCCGCGGAGAATCCAAGACGGGTTAGAAGCCATGACTCGCTAATCACGTCTGGACTCCCCCATGGGGTTTGCGTGCGGGGAGCTTGAAAAGCTGGAGATTGGGATCATGATCGCTAATATGACTGGGCTGGCCAGTAGCCAATGGAACGAATCCCATTTCAAGTGCTAGCCCGGTTCGAGAAACTAAACTTTGAGCCGAGCTGCGTCCGTTACAGTCGCGGTGAACTGGCTGAGTTTGTTTCATTCCATCTAGCGCGGACTGGGGTTGGGACTTAGTCCATATAACTCACGCTACTTTTGCCCATCGTTTATGTATAAATGGCACTGGAATACCACTTCAGTTTCCCACAACCTCATTCATCACAATACCAAGTGACTCATTCTCTTTCTCCTTTCTAAAGACTGCTCAAATCGTCAGTGAGCCTCGAAGGCCCAATAAGTCATGGACCCTGCCAAAAAGTCGTCAGACGACACCAGGGCCTCAATGGCCAAGGAGGGCCAGATCGAACAGGTCGAAAATTTCGATCTCAAAACCTCCTTTGCTACCGGCCATCTTGCCGACAGCATTGAGGAGACCAACACTGGAAAGTTCGTTTGGCTGATTGGCCTTACGGCTTCCATTGGTGGCATGCTATTCGGTTACGATACGGGAATCATTTCAGGTGCTCTCGTCTATATCCATGATGATCTCGGTCATAACCTTTCTTCAAACGAAAAAGAACTCATCACTGCTCTCTGTTCGGGCGGTGGCTTCTTTGGGGCTATCTTTGCAGGCCTTTCGGCAGACAACTACGGACGCAAGACGGCACTGTATGGCGCCTGCGTTCTCTTCACAGTCGGTGCTATAATCCAAGGAGCTGCGTACTCGATTGCACAAATGGCCGTGGGCCGAGTCATTGTTGGCTTCGGTGTCGGATCAGCAGCCATGATCGTGCCGCTTTATCTGGCAGAGATTGCCCCTGCCAAGTACCGTGGCCGAATGATCGGCTTCAACAACACAAGCATTACTGGAGGACAAGTCATCTCTTATGCTATCGGTGCCGCCTTTGCCTACGTCCCCAATGGCTGGAGGTACATGGTTGGTCTCGGCGGCCTTCCAAGTGTGATTCTCGCATGTCTTCTTCCCTTTTGCCCCGAGTCGCCTCGACAGCTTGCTGCCCACGGCAAATTCGACGAAGCACGGGGGGTTATTGCTCGAATTTACAAGAACGCCACCCCTGAGATGGTCGATGCTAAACTCGAAACGATCAAGGCAGCTCTAGACCAGGACAACGAAATCTCGAAAGGCAAGCGCTGGAAGGCAATCAAAAAGATGCACACTCATGGGCCCAGTTTCCGAGCTCTTGTTTGCGCATGTGGCCTCAGTAAGTCTACGCCAAACCTGGGTCGAAATTCAGTGAACGCAAGAACGCTAACAGTTTACTAGTGGTTCTCAGTCAGATGAGCGGTTTCAATACGCTGATGTATTATTCCGGTACTCTGTTCAACCTCGTCGGGTTTTCCAATCCGGTGGCCGTTGGTCTTGTTGTCTCTGGGACCAACCTGGTCATGACATGGATCAATGCCTTCCTTGTCGACCCATTCGGTCGTCGCCGACTTCTTATATACACCGTCTGGGGTATGTCAGCTGGGCTCGTCGCCGTTGCTGTGGCTTTCTCCTATATTCCCGTGGATCTTGAATCTTTGGAGCTGAAGGAGACAGGCGGGGGACCATCCACTCCCGCCATCGTCATGCTGGTGTTTATTCTCTGGTTCTGCGTCTTTTACGGATTGTCAGTCGGAAACATTGCCTGGATGAGCGTCGACTTTTTCCAAATGGACATTCGCGCAATGGGATCGATGTGGATGACCTGCTGCAACTGGGGACCCAACGTTATTGTTTCATCCACCTTTCTGACGATGATGAAACGCCTGACTCCGTCGGGAGCATTTGGATTCTACGCCTGCATAGTCTTCACCGGATGGCTGCTGATCATCTTCTTCTACCCGGATGTATCTGGGATGACTTTGGAGGAGGTTAGTCATGTGTTTGAGCATGGTTTCGGGGTGAAGCATTCTAGGGAGCTTCAGAAGGCGCGGAAGTTGGCCAAAGCCGGGATTCGAGATTAGAGATGCATGAAGTTGTGCACTTTGCCTGCATCGCCGTAGACAATCTCATGCAGGTATTGAATGCGCGTCTTCTATTGGGCTTTGGGAGATGGATGATACTTTTCCATAGTACCTACCATGTTGAATATTATTCTATATAAAGAGCAAATTTGCAGTTCCTATAATGATGCAGAGCCGCTGACAGTTATCAATGCTGCGATACCAGATGGCTCCTCAATGATCAAGAGTAACGTAGGCATGGCCCCGGCCCCTTATATTTCAACCCCTTCTTTGTCGTCATCTTCTTTTCTCCCAAAGAACATACATCGGCAAGACTAGACCAAGAGCATTATTAATATTTTAAACAACTGTTGCTCCATTTCTCCGATTGATAAACTTTTTATCGTTCTTGTCTTAATGAGATCAGAAAAATAAACTGACGAACCCTAGCTATGGGGAGCACCTGTTGGCTTGAGCGGCTACGCTTTCCTTTAGATGCTCTTGCGATACAATTGGATATAGATCTCACAATAATTCTTTTGATTAATTAGTCTCTGATAGTACTTGATCTATTATGAAAGATAGATTTTTGGACTTAAAATGCTCTTCTAGAGACGCAATGAAGCACACTCTGCTTACTCGTTTGGCCTCGGGTAACACGTGACTTGCTGGCTGACAAATGGTGAAGAAGTGCGCTCACGCCCGCGTTTTTCCTCACTTGGACTTTCAACCAAACCTATTGAAATATCCAAACCCGGCATCCCACGAACCGTTCAATTAAGGCCTCTAACCAGAATCATGTTCATGTAATGCATCTACAAATAGCCGAGCTTCCGACGAAGGAACCCCGAACAGCTGAAAATGACGAATCCGGATGAATTGGCGACCCGGCCCCAGTCAGCGGTTCCATTGCTAAAAACATGTCAGACTTGCTTCAATGCCAAAATTCGCTGTGTAAAAACACAAGAATCTGGACTATGCGATCGATGTTTACGACTGGATAAAACTTGCATTTTTAAACCTGCTCGACGCAACAGAATTCGCCAAGGGTAGGTTACAGAACAGCAGAACACCTAGGCAACCATTCAATGGGCACTAACTGGTGAAAGCCGAACCGCGACATTAGAAGTAAGGGCACGAACTGATTCGCGGTCACCTTCGGGTATTCCTACGATATCACGAGCAGAGAATTGTGTCTCAACCCCTAATAATATACCTAATGACCACTCATCCGATCCATTCGACTCAGGGCTGTTGTCTTATGAAGTTGCAGGAAACCTCATTGAATACTACAACACCAAGATGGTCAAACACTACCCTTTCGTAATTGTTCCAAAGGGGCAGTCTGTCAAAGAAATTGCGCAGAACCGGCCAGGCCTATGCCTTGCCGCCTGTGCAGCAGCTGCCCACGATAATGTGCAACTTCAGCGATCACTCAACACACTTTTCAACAATCTTATCTCGATACGTCTGAAAGGGTCTTTCGCAAGTCTGGATATACTGCAAGGCCTTCTTGTCCATGTTGCATGGTAAGGCAGCCCACAAATAACCAAGTTGAAACATCACTCAAAGTAAAGTACAGGGGACATTATCAAACTCGCCCAAGACGCTACACACAGTACCTCCATCTGGCTACTAGCATCGTAAGCGATTTGAGAATTGATCAACCAAGAAAGCCTAGATTATGGAGTGTAGATGGGGGAAAGGAGAGGGATTCTGCCGACTGGGGGATAGAGGAAATGAGAGCTCTCGCCGGTGCCTACTATTTGTCATCGAAGTAAGTATCCTGCAGAGCCATGGTATTTATGGCCCGTCTAACAAAGAAGATAGCACCTCAATTTTGCTGCATAAGTCGCGCCATTTCTCTCATAGTTCCTACATATCACGTTGCGTCGAATACATCTCTGCGAACGCACAAGTCCCAACAGATACTCATCTACAGTATCTGATTCAACTTCAACGGTTGACAGAAGAGATCGATGATGTCTGGAATGCTGATTTAGATGACTTGGGAAAGCAGCGAGCTGGAGAAACCATACGACACGTTGCCACAAGATGTGACACAGTCAAGTCCAGCTTACCTTTTCCAATCAACGAAAGCCGTGAGCCCCCCAAAGCTGCAAACTAATAAGAATAACTTCTAACCGGTGAAAAGTTCCCATCCTTTTTCAATTCAACTTATTGGAACTTTTTTTAAGCCAATCCTCTCCCGGAGGAAGTCATTACGGAGTTGATAAATTCGAGAAGCCGGTTCCGTCCCAACACAGCCAACACTCCAATTTGATTGATTGGCTATCGGCAAGCATTTCTGCTGCGCAATCGATAATTCGGATTATCATTGTTCTCCCGTCTGGAGAAGAAGCAATTTTGTCAAACATCTCATGGATCATCATATACTGTGCTCTGTCGCTAGCTGTGCGCTTGGATCTCACAGCCGCCAAGACCGCCTCCACTCAGTTTCTCAGACGCTTTCTCGACATGTCCCAGACTCTCCGACAAGTCTGCATCCGTCTCGAAGCAGCTTCAGGGGAGGACGTGGATGAAACTGGTGATCGTAATGCCTTTTACCATTTGGCTCTACGAGCGCGCCGTCTTGAGAAGTGGTACCAGAAACAGAGCGCCGAGCCACAGGGCAACAATGATCATGACCAGGGTCCTATAGATGATGACCCATCACTTTCTGAATTAGCACCAAGCTCTGCGGCTGTGTCGGATGATAGCCTGGATTTTGGAATGTCCTCGGTTTTATTTTCGGACACGTTAGGCTTCCCAATGCATCTAGATATAGAGAACGAGGGCATGTGGAGCGATTACCCTCCAACGGGCTGAAACACACGGACGGACACGGACACGGACACGGACAAGGACGTAGTAAGCTGAGAAGACATCTACCGAGCACTCCGAAACGGACACGGGCATAACCGCGCAGATCTTAGATGAGGCAAGCTACCATGGGTACACTTCAGTTTATTTCATTTTCAAGATGACCTCATAGTATTTCAATGCAATAGCAAAATTACGAGGCGCAGTTTCTAATTATGGAGCCGTTGATTTCTGTCTCCTGTATAAAGGTCGAGCGATGCATGCTCCGAAATCACCAGGAACTACACCCATCACCTCTTTACAGTCTTATCTCATTGCCTCTTGTTCCCAATGTTCAAACTCACCACTATCTGCGCCAGCTTGGCGCTCCTTGCTACATCCGTTGTAGCGGAAGACGACATCTCCTTCTCGGCATGCGGGCTAATCGGTTCATACTACCCCTCTCCACACATTCTGAAGTCGTCCAAGACTGCTTCAAGTATCAACACCACATTCACTCAAGTGTTTGACAAGTTGATCCAAGATGGAGGGAGTGAGAAGTATGGTAATATCACCGTCAACAGCACATCCTTTTCGGTGGTGATTTTCAGTGGAGCGGCAGATCTTCGTGAGGATCCCACACTGTTTGAGTACCACTACACTTCAGGAATGGACTTTCAGGAGACTGGTACCAATCTCACCTCCAACACTGCATTTCCTGTGGGCGACTTGACCATGATTTTCACCGTTTACACGTGGCTTGTAAAAATGGGCGAGACTTGGGATGCCCCTATCACCAAATTTCTCCCTGAATTGAAGACGCTCGATTCGTCTTCCATTGCCTCATGGGATGACATTACCATCGGCTCTCTGGCTGGCCAAGTTTCAGGACTGACACGAACATGTATGTCGATAGGTCTGTCACCATAGAAAACTAGCGAAGACTAACATTTAATAGCAAATGCTTGCGAAATTGGCCACAGCTGCGACTGGAACGGTAAGTGATTCCTTACATCAAATACTATTGGTTTGTATTGAGCTGACCAATTTATTCATACAGAGTTTGTGCTTGGGCTAAGCAAAGAACCATTCTTGTTTCGCTCCGACACAACCCCGATCGTATCATACGCTGCTTACCAACTCCTAGCATTTGCCATGGAGAAGGGATCTAAAGGCCATAGCTTTTCAAATGTCTTGAAAGAAGCCGTATTTGAACCTCTCGGCATGGCATCCAGCGGTCTTCTCGACGACAAGTCTAGCAACCAAAGCGTCTTCGCAATCGGAGGGCTCAACATGTCACAGACAGGTGAACCTGGGTATGTACATCAACGCAACCAGCACATATGTTATTGAATTTGACTAACCTCCACCATTAGGGCCATCTCAATCGTCAGCTCCATCTCTGATCTCGTTCGAGCCGGCCACGCCATGTTGGACTCGACGCTCCTCAACAAGGCTGTAACCCGACGTTGGCTCCACGGTACATATTCAACCTCAAATCTTCGAAATGGCGTCGGCCGCCCGTGGGAAGTCTACCACTCTGGCTCCACACCCATATCCCCCGTGCTCGATGCTCATACAAAGAGCGGCACCATCGGAAAATACGCCAGCTATTTCGGTCTTGTTCCAGAGCTTGAGGCTGGGTTTGCTATCCTCGCGCACGACAGTACCGTTGCGGACCGCAAGCTTGATCTCAATGTGCATGCCGATATTGTCAGTGAAGCCTTAGGATATTTCGTAAAGGCGGCTGCCGAAGAGACGGTTGCGAGGTACGGCGGTTCATACGGAGTAAAGGATGGCAACGGCGTATTTGGGCAATTCAGCATCACAAGCAACGGATACGGGCTGGAGGTTCAAGCGCTTCGAGATCAGAATGGAGCAGATCTCAGAAAGGAGTACGCAAACATCCTGGAGATTGAGGAGGCAGACTTGGACTTCCGGCTGTACCCTACGAATGTGCAAGACAAGTCTCGACATCAGTTTGTGGCTGTGTACCAAGACAAGAGTGCGCCCATTGATATGGGTACGCCGACATGTATTACTTGGCAAGAGGTCGGCGCGGTGTCTGGTATTGCGCATCGGTTCTGGTTTGAGTTGGATGAGAGTGGTGGTGCCGCTCGAATTCTGATTGATCAGGGAGATGTCGTGTTGGAAAGAAGCGAATAATTCGTCTTCGCGGCAACCTCTACAAGTGTATAGAGTGGACTAGTATTTAGAAGTATGGGAAGGAGGAGAGACAGACTTATATTTCCAAGATATTATCTCAAGAGAATGCAAACTATACATTCCTACCAATACAGATATCCGAACGGTGACGAGACCCCCTTCTCTGAGCCACATGGCTGAGGTGCATCCCCGTCAAACAAGATGACAAATCTCGCGTTCACTGTTTTGACTTCTTGCGCCAAAACAGACACATATCCAATATATCTCTCCAGAATCCGGTTGGGGGCTCAGTGAAGGTTGCTTCATAGGCATCGATCGCAGGTGCTTCCCAGACAAGATCCACCTCGTGAGGCTTTACAATCTTGGTCTTCTTGATAATCTTCCACCCGAAGTAGAGGATCGGCGCCAGGACCTGCATGGTGTAGTTTTGAAAGAACCCCTGTACCGTTGGGGGACCAAAGGCAGTGTATCCGTAAAAGATGAGGACAAGTGAGATGAAAAAGATGCCAATGTAAGCCGAGTAAGGCTGGAAGTAAGCATAGTAAGGCAGTGTTTTCCGATCAAGTCCCTGGACCTTGCATGCCCGATAGAAGTTGACATATGTGATGCAGACCACGAGGTAGTCGATGAGCGCTCCAGCAGTGATGAGAGAAACCAGCCAATTGATTACCTGAGCAGAATCATTCGATAGCTGCAGAAATGACAAGAACGGGAAGCACATGACGATCCCATATGAATAGATTGGTACTCCTCGGATAGTCTTTTTCAGCAAGGCGGGTGCCCTACCCTCGAGAGCGAGGCCATAGAGAGATCGAGTAGCACAATACGTTAGTGTGTTTCCAGCCGAGAAGATCGATGTGAGAAGTAGAGCATTCACTAAATGAGGGAGGCCCTCGACTTTAAGATTGGACATGGCGATGACATAGGGAGAAGCGGCGGCACCAGACGCGCTGCTGTTGCCCTCGAGGATAGCCTGCAAAGCCGGGTCGTCCCAGGGTACAACAATCCCGACACACAAGGATCCAAGGATGAAAAACAACATAAACCGCCAGTAGATGGTCTTGTAGGCATTTTTGATGACGTGTCGAGGTCGGCAAGCTTCTGCAGAACACATAGAGATATACTCAGGGCCAACAATGCAAAAGGATGCGGACCAGAGAGCGGCACAGAACCCTTCGAAACGACCGAGATCACCGGTGCTCCGGTGTTCGGCAAACGCTCCAGGGGTCTTCCAATAGCGAAATCCATATGGATCGTGCTGAGGATTGCCGCCGACCATCGTGACGAATGTGAAAAAGAATAGAATGAAGATGAGAAGAACCTTGCCGATAGAGAGCCAAAACTCGGCTTCACCAAAGATCCCGACAGCAAGGGCATTAATCAAGCTATGGTCATTTGTGTTAGCAATCAAAAAGAGTTCTTTCAGCATCTCATGGGGGACCCGATAGAAGTTTATGGATTCACCAGGGTGAGGGAGCAGAGAGATTTACGCATAGAGCACGATGCAAGCAACACACACAGCAGCAACAGGAATATCGTCACGCCAATACTTCAGCACAAGATTGATAGCCGTGATTTCGAATGGGATCAGTAGCGCTTCATAGAGGAAGAAGTTCCAGCCCACCATGAACCCCAGCGCATCGTCATACCACTTGCCAGCGAGGCGGATGAACCCGCCGGCAACGGGCTGATAGACAGTCATCTCAGCGAGACAGTTGTTGATACACGCAAGGAGTAGGGAGTATAAGGTGTATGCGATGAACAAATTGGCGGGGCCGCTAGCCGCGAGGCCGTTTCCGATGCTGACGAAAAGCGCAGTGCCGATAGAGCCACCGATGGCAAGAAGCTGGACTTGACGGTTATTGAGTCGCCGGTGGAGGCCCTGGGAGTTAGAATCGGGATCTATCCGCAAACTCCCTTGATCGTCATCGGTGACGGGTTTCTTCTCGGTCTTCTCCATTTCAACCAGAAGGACCAGATGACGGCACTAGACAACTTGGGGGGACGTAGGTTTCTGAAAAGTCTTTGAGAAAAGAAGATCCCGGAGAACTGAAATTTGTCAAAGAAGGGAAAGTAATGAAAAGCCAACTACGCGTTGCGATTAGAAGACAAGATGTGTGGATGCCTCGTACGCGGTGGTGCGTGTGTGAGGGTTTTTTCTTCTTGTTTGATCAGGAGAGAAAAAGTGAGTGAGACACGAAAAGTTTGGAAAGACATGAAAACATTGGGGGGACACTGGGGGATAATGCTGTGATCCACACAAGTAGAAGGGCAAAACTCGACAAGGCCCGTAGAGGTAGCGTAAATGAGAGCCCCTACCAAAGCTGCATCGAAGGATGACATCTTGGCTGCACCAACAGCTAGCAACCAATGAATTCATGTTGAAGGGACCCGGGAATTAGGAAAACAAAGGCCAAGGGGGACCGATGACGTTGATGTGGAACCTGCCCAGCATCCTCACGACGCGAAGTAATGAGCTGTGGGGTCATGGGCTGACTCTGACCGTCAAGCGTTCAATGCAAGCCTGAAAGTTCAACAATAGACGGTAGACGATCAACGTAAAGCTCCAAGTGAACTGATGATAAGATAGTTGTACATCGGTCGAGAGTTGGGAAGGACTGCTTCCATGAAAACGCGGGATCTGGAACATGCTCACATAAGTCAAGTCACATGAGGCTGGCATAATGCCAGTGATGCTGCGGGGAAGCTACTCATGGGTTACCCAGCTAAATCACTCATGGGTAACCCACTACCCATGGCCCTCATTAATAGGTACAGAAGGTATTCGTAGCCATAAATATTAAGAGGCGGCTTTCTTCCCTGTCTCTGGCCAAGGGGTAAAAGCACCTGTAGTCATCATAGCTTTCAAGGGGCAATAATCCCTTCTTATCTTCTAAATTTACCTCTATATATGACGCGTAAAAAGAGACTGTTATAGCTCTGTCCAGCCTATTCATTATGAGCAATCAATTGATCAAAAGAATGTTATTCTCAAACACCCCAACCAACCCAAACCCGTGTTAGAGCTCGGCTTGATTTTCAACTCGTTGGTTGGTCACAACCAACCTGACCCTTGCTAGTATTTGGGGAATGAATATGTTTAGGTTTCTGTGCAAGCGGGCTACCAGTGCGATTAATGTTCGCTTAGGTGATTGTATTTCCTACAAAGCAACCCAATCTTATATGTACCTGACTGGACAGGCAGAGCTTCTCTTGCAAGCGTAAATACGCGCGTCGCCACATTTAATCTCACGGGAATAAAGCTCTTACGGAGGATGTAATGAATAGACCACTGACAGTATACACGTTTGGCCGTGAACTCATAATTGGTACAAAATTGGGAAGAGAATAATTAATAGCTTGCGAGGTAAACTGCCGCATTACCATAATGCTCCAAGGAGGCATCGAGGAGGGGTTCAGACCAGTTCGGCCACATACATCCCAATCAACCCAGCAACCATCATGGGAATTGCACGCCCCATATTCCATTTTCCCCAGGCTCCAATCAAAGAATGACATTTCTCCCCTGTCTCATCGACCTGGCTGAGGTCGGATGCATTCTCAAAAACCTTGAGTTTCGCACGAAGCTTCTCGATAGTAGGCAGGACCATAACATAAGTGAATGGCACAACACTAAGGCATAGCGAACCCGCGGTAAAAAGAAGGGCCGAAACATCGGAACTCGATCTCAGCCTGTACGCGAGGCTCAAATAGCCCAGGCCGCTGATTACCATAGGTCCTGCAACCCACCATTTTGTAACCTCGAACATACTGTGCCAGCGGCGAACATTGAGAGGCGGAGGAAGTTCCAAGAACCGTGGGATTAAGAAGAATGTAAGAGAGGCATTGGTACTGGCGGAAGCGATCGCCAAGACATTTCTTGCAGCGAGGGCCAGTGGTAATTTGCCAAGCGTCTCAACCATGATGTCCAGTATTTAGTTGGAAGATTAGTCAAGTGATTAAGGTGGTTTGGAGGCAGCTCAGTAAGTTCGCTGTCTTAAAATGCCGGTTTATAAAGCTTTTACTTGATCCTTTCTGTTCCCATGTTTACTTTTACATCTTCTACACGGATGCCGATGACAAAGCAGTCTGTATTCCGGAGTCCGGGTCGCTCCCCGATCCGCCGACGAAACACTATGTGGTATAAAGAATTCGGCCTTCGCTCTTTCAAAGAAGAACAGATCCGTCTTACAAACCGTGACAAATAATTTTTTAGAATTGGAAGGCTTTGGAACATATTGAAAGCTAGTTGAGCATCGCCTTAGAATGAGCGAAAAGGAAGGCAGTACTCAACGTCAATGATGATGATGATGTAATCTGAACGAAAACATATTTTGACCACGGAAAAATGAAAGAATGGCCAAAAATAACTTTAGGAATATCCTCGTCGGGATGTTTGAGTGTGAGATGAAAAAGGCTGTGAAATTGAAATTGGTGGCGGCAGAAATATCGAATCAAGGTGATCTAAAGCCGAGATATTGGTGTGTTTCAGACTAAGTCAAAGGCCAGGAACGTAAATTAGGTACTTGACGAGTTACTGCGTTGATGTGGCAGCAGTGTGATGGTTACCCTATACCCACGAACTTTGCGGGTTACGGTGCCAATATCCGATTCTGAAACGGAAAAGAATCAAAGAAGTAACATTATCCGTCGGCGTGTCGATCGGCAACCATAAGTTCCCAATTTGACTCCGCGTCATCTAAATTGATTGTTGCTTTGAAAGTATTCGATCATTGCACACGTCCAACAATGTTAGCCCAATCATTCGCTCGATTGAAAATTGCTGACTTAAATTCTTTCTCGCCAGTTAGACATACAAGGCAGAAGGCTGGATAAATTGAGAGTAGAGAGCCGGTATTAGTCTGCATTCGATATTATTTCCAAAGCTACCTTTAAATCCCCTTTTCCTCTATCTCACCGCCATCGAGGAAAGAAATGGTATACCGTGGTGAGTTGGCAAAGTGCAAGCCGTAATCGGAGGAAGTGTATCCTTGTTTCAGCCATCCAATTTTGTGCAATGCCTTATCACCCAATGAATTCCCCACCAGCGAGTGAATGATAAGCGATTCGCCATTTGAGTGCTTGGTCAGCACCTTTATCTCGCCGATTATCCGCCGGCGAGATTGATGAATGCTGCCCAAATACATCCCTCGATCTATCACAACATTGAACTCACCATGAGAAGCCATGCCTACGAACGAGACGACACCGCTCCTTAGCGACAGTGGCATTTCGCCTGCGTCGGATAGACAACAAGACTCTATCCATGCGGCCGAAACTGAGAATCCCCAGTCAAGCATTGATGAAGATGAGGTCCTCAAGGTTTCGCCAGAAGCTTGGGCCGAGCGCTTCATTGAGAAGGGTGAGAGCTGGCGACGTGACTATGAGCGAAAGCTAATCCGCAAGGTCGACCTACGTCTGATGCCTACCCTCATCATCATGTACCTCCTCAATTTCCTCGATCGTTCAAATCTCACCCAAGCCCGACAGGGCACATTGGAGCAGGATCTGGGGATGCAAGGTACAGACTACAATGCCGCTACCAGCATCTTCTTCGTGGGCTACTTGCTGATGCAACTGCCATCTAATCTACTTCTCACACGGGTGAGACCATCCTGGTACCTGGCCGCTTCTTGCTTGTTGTGGGGGATTATGTCAACATCCAATGCTGCGTCTCAGAACTTCACCCACCTAGTCATCATTCGGTTCTTCCTGGGCTTTGTTGAAGCACCTTTCTTCCCAGGCGCAGTCTTTCTGATGAGCTCTTGGTACACTCGCGCCGAGCTCACCCAGCGTATTGCATGGTTATACACCGGCAATGCGCTTGCAAACATGTTTGGTGGCCTTCTCGGCGCTACCATCCTGGGCAGTCTCGAGGGTGCTTTGGGCATTTCCGGCTGGAGATGGCTATTTCTTATCGTACGTAGCAAGTCAAGCCTCCTGGATTATTGCGTTGAGAGATGGTGAGACGACTAACAAATGTGAACAGGAGGGCGGTCTCGCCATTTGTTTTGCGTTGCTGTCAGCATTCCTCCTGCCTGATTACCCACACACTACTACATGGCTTGATGCCGAAGGAAAAGCCTTCGCCGCATGGCGTTTACTCGGGGATTACCGCCAAGCAGATTCATACAGTAACGTCTCTGTCTGGAAGGGTGTTCTTATGGCGATCAAGGATTATCGCCTGTACGCTTTCATCGTCTTCCAGCATACCAGCCTTCTTTCTCAGAGCTTCCAATATTTCTTCCCTGTCCTTGTGGGTACATTGGGCTACGATAAAATCACGACACTGTGGCTCACGGTGCCTTGTTGGGTGAGTTGATCCGTCAACATTGTCGCCATTCCTTGCTGTGAGTGATCAAGTCACTAATTGAACACTGATATAGTTTGCCACTTTTCTCATTTCGATTGCTGTAACGTTTACTTCAGCAAAGACTCAAGACCGATCGATACACATCATTGGGCTTATGTTGGTGGCGACCATAGGTAACGGCATCGCGGCAACCTCGACCGTGAATGCTGTGCGCTACTTTGCCATGTTTTTGATGCCAATGGGTTCCATCTCTGCTTGTAAGTTCTCCAAAGTACACGCGTCATATTAAAGTAGCCGAGTTTCTCACATTAGACCTGTAGATCAGATTCTGGTGGCATGGGTTGCAAACTCCTTCCCACGGCCGTTGGTCAAGCGTTCAGCCGTCATCGCCATCTCCAACATGATTGGCAACACGGCAACCATTTACGGATCATACATGTACCCATCTTCCACAGGTCCTCGCTATATCCTAGGAAGTACCATCAATACCGTTGTCTGCCTTTTAGTGGTGGTACTAGCTATTGCTCTACGATTTATTCACGTACGAGAGAACAAACGGCTTGAGCGAGCTGAGGAGGAGCAGAGTGAGATATCCGAGGATAGCGATGTATCTACGGAGACAAGGAACCCAGGGTTTAGATACATCTACTAGATAGCGCGTTTCGGATGGAGCAGCATAGAGATTCTTTAGGGGTTTTTACAAATAGAACGGACTGGATTGGGGGTTTAGAGCGAAGGATAAGTCAATAAATCGAAGATGGTGATTTGTTTACCATAACGCTAGTGACCAGATGGCCATACAATAGCTCGACAACCTCAGAATTCGGGTATATCACTACCAATACGGAAGCTTCAAGATTTGATGGGCGCTGAGGTTAGCCCCGTCAAGTTTTTCTCTCGCTTCCTTTTCTTTCTTTTTTGAAGAATACATCTTGAAAGAGGCACTGGCGAGACTCTGGCTGTATGTAGCACGTGATGAGCGTCACTTTTTAGCACGCTGATGCTTTGTGGGGCGACCTGGAATGTTCCTTCAATGCTGACACTTCCTCAATTGTTTATCAATTGCAGCAATGTCGCATCGAAGCCGTGGCTGCTTGCGATGCCGCCAGCGTAGGGTAAAGGTATCGCATTGTCACTTCCAAAGAACCACGGTGGCATGCTCGGCTAACTTCTTGCGTCGGCAGTGCGACCAGGGCCGCCCTTCATGTCAAAGATGCGTCACACGAAGCGAGCCCTGTGTGGGCTACAGAGATGAGCTTGATCTTTGTTTTCAAGACCAGACTCAACAAACTGTTCAAAAGATTGGTTTGGTATCTCAGCAATTCAACGAGAAGACTTGTCCGATTCCATCGCGGAATCATCGTGCCCGGAGCAGGTCTCTCGATAGGATCAAGGCTCGTCCAGTACAACATCACACAGCCCTGGCTTCACCGCAGCTTTATGGCGGTGGTCATAATGAAGAGCTGAAAGACGAAGCCGTTTCTACCTTTCTCGACAACTATGTACTCTATCCGTGCAATGAATCCTCATCTCCTGGATTCCTTGAGCACTTACCAGGCCTCTTCAAGGAAGTCAATGTCAGTGGTCGGCTTGCCTTGCGATGGGCTGTGGAGGCCGCTTCGCTGGCAGATCATTCTTGCAGGAAGAATGACGCGGATTCAGCGCGCAAGGCTCTTCAACAATACAGCCAGAGCCTAAATGCACTGGGCAAGTCTCTGTCCAAGAATGGCAAAGAACCAGACGACTATGATTTGATGACGGTCGTGGTTCTTGACATATTTGAGGCAAGTTGATTTTTCTTTGGGAATTCACTCACTAGGCTGTTGTAATGCCTTCTAATCATAGTGTACCAGACCCTATTTATCCATGATGAGAACAGTTTTGGGGCCCATACGCAAGGAATGGCACATATCTTACGTCTACGAGGTCATAACCAATTCCACGATCCTCGGGGATGGGGCTTATTTCGCCTGGCGCATCACCGGCTGGTACGTTTCAACTCGAGGATCCATCCCTGAACAGATTGTATGCTAATGGCGAGTGGCGTGAAGCAAAAGGAAAGACTTGCAAAACAGCTCAGCCCTCTTCAAGATTCAGGCCAGTGGCTCGACTCACTGAGCAGTGAGATATCCTTCGTAGAACTAGAAAAGGGAGCATTCGATGTCACTGCAGTCTGCGAGAGAGCAAGGTCCCTGCTTTCCAGGTTGAAATCCGGCGCACCCTCGTGGGAAGAAATGATTCAACTTGTGCGGGAAATGATTAGCGTTGATCTCAAAGTCTCTCGGTGGCGTGAGCGACCCGAGTGGACCTTCAAATTCCTTCCGCGGAGTGCCTTGACTGGTGACCTGGAATGCATCAGTCGCCTCCCTGCTCAAGTTGAGATACACCGCGATGTGTGGATGGCGTATGAGTGGAACTACCACCGCACAGGGCGGATCATCCTACATCAGACGCTCCTCGAATGCCTCTTGCAGCCATCCGTTGACCTCCCCGCCGCTGTTTCTGCCCATGAGATATCGAATTACATCGATGCATCGACGTGCATCATTCACGATCTTGCGGACGGTATCTTATCTACAGTCCCTCAGTCTCTTGGGGATATTGACAGCACTGGACAATGTATTTCACCAACCTGCGACAAGCCTGGATGGCAGGCTATTGGGGCATATCTTCTGCTATGGCCGATTAAAATCATCAAATCTCACAATAGCATGGTGACAGAAGCGCAAAGACATGACGCTGAACTTTGCTTTGAAAGAATTCGGGAACGGACTGGAATGAAAGCCAAGTTAGGCCCGTTGTCTTCTATTTGATATCTAACTTAACCCGGATAAGCTTGAGATATATCATAATGAGTCCCATTTGCTATGCTCAGTTACTCTCGATGCCCAGTTCTTTCTCTTTCTGAAACAGATCCGGCATAAGAGGCTGTCCATCCTTTGACAGGATGGGATTTGCCGCCAAGGAAACAAAGAATATACGACAGACATGGCTTGAGTTATTGAACCATTGATGGTTTGCGCCCTCCTGAATTATATATTCGCCAGCCTTGACGACCCTCTCCGCTCCGCTATCCAGGCGAAGAAGGATCTCGCCAGTGACAACAATGCAGTAGTCGATACTAAGAGTCCTGTGCATTGGAGAGCTGCTTCCAGGTTGAAAGTCAACAGTGCAGGCCATTGCTCCCTGAGGAGGTGTTCGAGGGATGGCTTCGGGGAATGACGGGATTGGGTCGGTGTTGGTCACGGGAACGGCATCGCGTGAGTCGAAGACGGCGAATCCAGTTTTGTGAGGGCCAAATTTGAAAGGAGTAACGTCATGGTCGGCGGAGAAGACGGAGTTCTCAGTCTCGTGAGAGTGGCTTGCCCGGATGACTCGTGGGTAGTCGAGGGTTACGTCTTGGGTGGTGGTTGTCTGGGACATTTTGGTTTTAGTTGATGTCAATGGTGTTTGTAATTCAAGTGTATTGCTCCAGAATTGGAGAAAATATATTGAGATGAGTTGGTGATTGTGTGATAGTTCTATTGCTTTATCTTGGGTTCTAGACTGCTTTATATAGTTCTTTTCTATTGTTGACGCATTGCAAAGCGCAAAGCTATCGGATCGTCGGCTGAAGCGTTGAATGACCAAGCTGTAGATGATGACAGGGATGTTCGCAGCGCTTGCCCAGTTGGGAAACACCCACGAGGCTCCAGCTTACAAGAAGATCTTACGCAGGACAAAGTTCGACCCAAGGGATCCTTGTCAACTGACTAGTAATAATAATAATAGGCAGAAAACCGTTCAAACTCCTCGCTGCCGTTATAAATCATCGGGAAATTCCAATGCCCGTCCAATTCATGATCCAAGTCTGTTCCACAATGACTGCACCAGGGATGGCCATACCGCGAATAGCGACATGGAGAGATGGAAGAGTAGAGAAGCTCATCCTAACCAGCCATATCACGGATGATCTTTGCACAGAAAGGCCTATTGATTATATTGCTATATCCATTGTATCTATATATAGGGTGGTGGCATTTCCATGCCCTGCCCGAGATACAAAACAGACGACACTGACAAAACTCATATTCGTGTATTTGCCAACTCCAGCTGGCTTGGTCGCCGCATAAGAAACATAGACTACCTTACTTGAGCAATTGCCCGAAATGTGCACTGCTTTTGACCAACCCATTGCCGTTGCTGGCCACTCCATTTCCACTAACAACCATCCCGTTCCCGATGGGGGTCACCCCATTTCCATTGCCGTTCAGCGTACCATTTTCTTTCAACCTCCACTGCGCCATGGGAGATTTTGAAGCCCGGTAGTGTCTATCCAGCGCCTTGCAGATTGCTCTTGCCACCGGCTCCACGTCGTTGGGATCGAGCCCGACCGAGATTCTAATATACGGGTCCTCATCCCGGATAAAAGGGCAGGATGGCCATACACGAGTGGCGGAAAATCCTAATCCACCACCTTTGGTCATTCCAACATCCTCCTCCTCTCCAGCCCTGAGAACCAACTCTGTAAATCTATCCAGACTTGGCCGCTTGTTTATTTGGTCATCCCCAAAGAGCTTGATGGTGACAACGTTGCCACCGTGACCCCAACCCATCTTTCGCCAATGAAGTGGATAGTTGAACCCGGCAATGGAAGCACATTGCTTGTCCAGGATGTGATATAATCTTTCCGCATTCGACGTCAGCCAGTACATCCGTGATTGATGGACCTTGTCATCAATAGCGGGCAACACATTCGCTTGACGGGAATATAACGTCGTTCCAGTGATTTGGCGGATAAGGCCAATACTTTCATGGAAAGCCTCAGGATACACAAGCAAGCCGCACATGACAATGTCCATACCCATCTGGATGTACTTGTGGGCACTCTCATAGTAAAGAATCTTAGGGTGACTGTCATCATTGAACCAATCATACAGTGGCAATCCACCCGAGAGGAGTGTTCCGTCCATGATGAGAAATCGGTCAGACCAACCGGGCCTCCCTTTCAGGAGCTGTGCAAACCGTCGAAGGTCCGTGGTCTCTAGGCCGAGAGTGTTGGCCATCGGGTCGAGATAGACAACCTTGGCGTTGTGTCTCTCTGTCGTAGCAATGATATCTTCGGCATCAAAAGTTTCCGAGTTGACGACCTTGACATGCGAGACTGGTCGGAGGTGATCAAATGACTCAAAGTACAAGTATGGAGATAGAACTACTGTGTCACCTGCGACCAGAACCTTGCTCATAACGAACTGGTTGAGGACCGTGAATGCTGCGACGCCGCTGGACGTCAATAGTAGCTTGAGTGGCTGCTTGGAGTCACCCATGCCCAGGGCCTTGAGCAGCGTGTCTTCGACAGTATGCACGTCAGATGCACCATAGCGGTCGTAATTGAGACCATCCGCTCGGTGGTACGCTGGGTCAAACCACCATAATGTTCGAGACTGGTCGTAGCCTGGACTAGCCCGCTCAAAGAATGACCCAACAAAGGACTGCAGTTGAACGAGGGCACGGAAGCGCTCCTCCATCTGCCAGGGGGCAAGAGCGAAGCATGACAAAGCTGAAGAAGGGGCCTGCCCATCGCCTTGGCTGAGGTTCTGAGTAACAGCCAGCTGTATCTCTAGCTCAGCGGTGAGATGCCCTAGGCGATTGAACTGCTCCTGAAAGATGCTGTTGCACCAGTCATCAGAACGGGCAGAGATCTCCTTCTCAATCTCAGCACGCCTTTCAGCTCGTTGCCTGATCACATCTGTCCCCTTTTTAAGGCGGGACAGCAGGACAGACCACATCTCAACGATTGATAGCTTGGGGGCTTCATATGACTTGGTGTCTGTTCGCCGCACCAACGGGCCGTAGGTGCTAGACACCGGGGTGAGAGCTGAGGGGGCCATTGTGAATTCCAAAGAAGCAAGCAAGCCAGGAATATGGGATAGAAGTGGATGATGCTGTTAGACCCAATGTGCCATGGCACTGTAGTTTTATATCCAGCTAGCGCTCTGCCATTACACATCAGAGCAGCCCTGAGTCACGAGGTCGTTGCCAAGAAACCTGTTAGTTTGCATCCTACAAAAATCCTATATGCCAGGGTCCGTGTATTATTGCATATGGATGGAGAAATTGATGAGTTGTCTTCTTCTCCCCGCTCCTTCTCGGCCTTGACCGTCAAAGGATGCAACATGCAGGATGATGGCTGTCAAAGGTCCATGACCTACTAGCTTCTTGTTCAGAGAACCCACCAAGCCAGTTGATCTGATAATATTGTTCATTATGTGACTCAAAGCTGTAGGTAGTAAGAGAAATGCAGGCTCAGATCCTGAAAATATTCGTTGAATGCTCTAGTGTGTGTGGGTTGGGTATTCACGTGATGCCTCATGAGGGCACGTCAATCTATAAATACCTATCCAGATAACTCTCATGTTGAAATGGAATCAAGTTCAGCTAATTCTCTTTACAAAAACCCGTGGTCTAGGCCATTATCACAGTTTGTCGTATATATTTCAAGCAAATCCTCTTTTCCCCCACAACACAAAATGACGTACTCCAACGGCCACACTAACGGCAACACCACCAACGGCAACAACAACGGATATGGGCTGCACAAAGGCCCTCGGCGAGCTCCCCGAGTCACTAATGTTCTCGAACGACGTTATGATCCTCAATTCTACCAGGCTATCTTCTCCATCATGGCCCTCCGGGAGAAGTACTTGAGAGACGGATATATCTTCGTCCGAGGAGAGGACATGATTCCCATTCTCAAAGGACTCGGTGCTTTGGATGAGGATTTTGAGCCGTTCGGAAACCTCGGTGATCTCACTTCACCCGACCCGACCGTAAATTACCGCGCTATAACATCCGGGAGATATTGCGTTGATTCCGAGACGAGGACTATCCAGCGGCTTGAGTCACAGGACTACGTACTTACGTTGGAAGAAGACTACAAGCGTCATGATTCTGGGATACCTAGGATGTTCGATGACACCCCACCGGACATGCAGAGCAATACTGTGATACACACCCTCATGCTGTTCAAGACCCTCGTGTACCAGGGAGTGCCTATCACGCCTCGGGATAACCTGAACTACTACACTCCCAAGTGGATTTGCACACTCTTCAACATCCGGGTGACCACAGCCCCGGAGCTGGGCATCTTCGGCGAGCCGGCACTGGAAGGAGTTCACACTGATGGATCCGATCACACTATGACTGTCTTCCTGAACTGCTCCAACATGCACCCTGAGAGTGGCATCACCTTCATGCATGACAACAAGGAGACCACGGGGGTGCAGCTCCAAGACACCAATCCTGCGCTAATTCGGGGGCGTGTGCACCACCAGAAGCGTCTCGACACTCTCATGTTTGTAGACCATGATACGAAGCACTCCGTCACGCCCGTGCACCAGCTGGACCCGGCGCACCCTGCGACTAGGGACATGCTCATCGTCTTTACCCGCAAACCAAAGCTTGAGGGGCATGTTTCTGGGTTTTTGGATAGCGTGAAGCTCAACGCCACGTCACCGTTCCATTTGCCGATGTGGCTTCCGTGATAGAGATCTTGGAGGAGTCGTGGTTTGGAGGAGTCATCGCTTCGGTAGTTAGTTGATCAATCACATGTGCAGAAACTTATGCATTCAGCTCCATGTTATCATGCGAATCCACCGTCCGTGAAGTATAGTTTAAGCCGGCATGTAGACAAGACCCTAAACTACCTAGGAAAGGATTAACATATCTATCGAGATGTCCTACACCGCCTTTTGCCTGCTCAACTATGCTCTCGGTCTTTTGTAGCCAATCATCAAAGTACAATTCTTGTCTGACACTCAACTTAAGTACCATT